TAGTCTATATCTAAGTTCGGACCTTCACTGTTTGTGATTCTTGTACCAGGTTGATCCATTCCTTCGTTTGGTAGAAGACAGCAGGTTGCAGGCTGTAATTCCTGCATCTGCTCATATGTCCAAACTTTACGGTTCGAAAGAGGATGACACCGCTGCATTGAAATCTCTTTCAGCAATATCATTAACCGAAAACCAGTCAAAGGAATCCATTGCTTCTTTGATTCTTAACAGCTTGGGGAATTTATCAGACGTAATATCTTGTGGATTTTCTTAGCATTTTATTGAGTTTTCATGTGGACACGTTTTTCTTATTCCCTATTTATCATTTTACAGTCCGATTCATCTGCTATGAGAGCACAACTTCTTAGTGACTTCTTGCCAGATGATGTCTGTCCATTAGGGGCTCAGTTTGTGGAGGCACCTGGACAACTTCCTACATTTCTTCAAAAGAAAGACTATCTCTCTGAAGACCAGGTGCTCATTTGTTAATGGATTTTACTAAGTTTATAGAAATATACATAACCTGAGGTACCCATCTTCAATTTTGCAGGCCCTATCTAAAAATCTTGCCATTGAAGATGATGTCTCTGAAGCATTTGAGAGTCAAGCAGAAAACAAACTGCAGCTGCCCATAGACAATAATCTTCTAAGTGTCAATCAACTGCTTGAATCAGTAAGCTCAACACTTTCGCTTACAGTTTTGTACTTTTAAGACAGGAAAATGTAGGTATAGAATCTATTAAGTAATATTAATGGATATTACAGTTTTGTACTTTTAAGCCAGGAAAATGTAGGTATAGAATCTATTGAGTAATATTAAATATTAATGGATATAAGTTCAACAGAGTTTTATGCATAAAACTTTTGAGTATGGACATCCATTCTTCTGATATAGAAATTTCATACTCATAAGTTAGAAATGACTGCAGTTCTATGTCTTGTCATCATATGGACTTGGTTGACATCTTATCCTTTTCTTTTCCATTACTGATAAATTGGCGTGTCTGATTTTTCTGATTCATAATTGGTGCACACAGGAGAAAATAGATATGAAGCTCATAAATCTATGGCAAGTTTAATTTGAAAATGTTAATTTTTTCTGCAGGTTCTGGACACAGCGGTTGGAAGATTGTCTGTGGGTACCACCCCTGATGTTCCGTTTAAAGAAATGGCTAGTTACTGTGAGGCTCTTGTCACGGGAAAACAGCAAAAAATGTCTGTTTTCATGAGTGGCCAACGAAAGCAAGAAATTTGTTGGAGTGACCTTTCTCGAGATCACAATGATGTGAAATCATCAAACTTGAGTGCTGGCCAGGTCCCAAAGGTATACACGTAGATTAAATTTTGTATTTTTATAATCTCTAATAGTTGTTTCTTCCCTAAGCTTTGCAACATCAATTAGGTTATATGCATGAATCTTTGTTTAGAATCATGTGAGTAATGTTATATATATTTTCTCTTGTAGATAAAATAAATATAAAATCTGCAATTGTGTTGCAGTTGGGTTTGGTTTATCAGAGACAGGTGTCTGTGTGTTTTTTTTTTCTGTGGATAATAAAATTTAAAATTATGTGCTATTCAGCTGCAACTGGGGGTTGGGCTAACCAAACTTGACTCGTGTGCTAATGCATACATTTTTTTTCCTTGTGTATTCGTACTTGCTAATGCATACATGTTTTTATATACATGTGCATATACATATAAATATACAATTATACATTTGGACATGTTTACACCACATGTTCGACAAACAAGTATTATTTTCTTCACATATTATGCAATAAAGTGGACTATATAACTTTTTCTCTCACTGGACGAGATTACAAATGCTTCCACTGCCATGACTCAGCTGAATGACCACTCGGTTCTATAAATGTAGTTATGTTTGAGATGGGAATTGTAGCGATAGGATGCATCATGGTTACTCCATCATTTGATCTATATTGGATTCAAATTTGGCTCTTTTTTGCAAGTCCAACTAACGATCTGTGAAAAATGTACCCTAAACCATTTCCTCTTTTACCATGTTTTTCTGTTTCTGCCTATGCTTTACTTCATTTAGGGGCTGTTTGGTTCGTTTCCTAGATATAGGGAAATGCAATTTCATGTAAAGAAACACAAGTTTTTAGTTTTCCAAACTTTTCCAAAAAATTAATTGTTTCGCTTTGGTTCGCACATAAAAAATGGTGGGAAACCAATATATTTACTTTTCTTGTGTTTGGTTCGCATGAAAAAAAAAGGAAAAACTTTTGTTAATATGACATTTCCCACTTTTCTTGTGTTTGGTTGGTTTTGAAGTTTGTAAGGAAAAGTGTTTATAGTCACCATGGTAAGATTACCCCCACTATATACAAATTTTTTTGTGCTTGTAATATGAGGTAATCTTAATCATATAAAAGTTCAAATGTTCCTGTTTGAGATTGAAAAAATCACACGAATCCTGTAATAATCTGATTATTGTAAAATTTACGTAGTACATACCTGAATTACCCAAAAAAATCTACTGAAACCTATTAAAACATATAAACAACCTGAATAGTCATAAATATGTATATAACATAGCAAATGACATCAAATCTGATAATTTATGCACGTTGATGAACTATATGTGCAAAAAATCTGTGTATCTGATTTGACCTGAAATATACCTGTTTGAGATGAAAAAAAATCACACGAAACCTGTTTTCGAAGAAAAAAATAAAAGAGACATGTAATACCCTAATTATTCATAATTTTATGAAATATGTACCTGAATTAACCAAATAATCTTATGAAACCTATAAAAAACATATAAACAACCTGATTAGCCATATATATGTATATACTATAGCAAATCGTATCAAACCTGTAAATACCAAACATGTATGTAATGACTGAGGGCTCAAAATCTGGTCAATATCATCATAGTAACAAAAAACAGCCACGAGAGCTCGACGACGAGCACAAATAGCAACCAAACACCCAACAACATAGAGCTAAACAAGCTCGAATCATCATAGTAACCAAAAACAGCCACAGGAGCTCGACGACGAGCACAAATAGCAATTAATAGATATAGCGAATAACATACTTCAATTAGCGATTAAAAGCTCTCAAGCCAGATTACAGCTATAATGAATAACATACCTCAATTAGTCCAAGATAAGGAAATTTACAGCAATGAAGGGAAGAGCTCCAAGTCACCCCACTGAGAAAATAACATCTTAAAACAAGTATCAGAACAATAACATACAACTTCCCTCGTGCATCTTCGTTCAGTTTCTCCTCCTAGTGACTCTCTGGAACATGTTCTTTATATTATGAGAGTCGGTTTCAGCTTTCAGCTTTTTGGTTTGTTTTGCGTTACTTGATTTTTTTCTTTGCAGTATCAACTTTTCCCTAGGAAAAAAGGTAGGTTTTGGACAAGGTTATCAGTAAATGATCTAAGAAAGTAGAAGTTTTAATTATTGTATTGAAATCATAGCAACTTACTGAAAGAGGACGGGAGGGCATAGAGTCTTTATCATGACTAAATACTGTTGAGAACCTGAAGATAGCATAGAGATGAAGACTAGGAAGTGACAGAAACAAACATGATAATGGAGAAATCCAGATAACAGGCCAGCTACCTGTCCTTCATATGAATCAAAACCTTTGATGCTTCTTCCCTAGATTTCTTTTCCACCACGTTCCTTGCGTAGTCCTTGAGATTTCCAAGTATCTCATTGAAAAATACTTGGTCCAGTTCAAAGCCAGAAAGAGAAATTGCGAGCCCTAATAGAGCCTTCTGCATTTCTTGTTGATAAAGCCTTGTGATTGATGTCCAAGCATCAATCCCAGAAGCACCAAACAAGGATTCCACAGGTTCAGAAAGGGCTTCTGTTAGTTGTTTCTGCAAAGAAACACACTGCTGTCATAAACTAATCATAACTACTGGAGTATTAGCCTGTCAATATGCCAATTCTGGGGAGAGTTTTCTTGAAGATAGATACGTATGAAGCAATCAAATAGATTAAGAAGATAAAGATTGAAAATTTGAAATTATTTTCAAAAGAAGGTTTGTACGAACCTCACAGTCAGCTGACAACTCAGACAACTTCGTACTGCGGACAGAAACAGCATGGGCCTCAATATCACGTTGAAGTTTCTCTCGAACACAAGGTTCAGGACGTAATGTATTCAAATCAATACCCATTACACTCAAAATTGTGTTAATGGCTGCAATTCCTTCACATCCTGATTTCAAAGCCACTCTAGTTTATTCTTCTCTGACAGTCTTCTATGTATGCTTTAACCAAATTAACACCAATTACTGAAGAATTTTTGTCAATGCTTGAGAATTTCAATTGAACAGATTAAGGTCAGAATATGCAACAAGTAAAAAACTCAACATCACCATGTCTTTTTCTATCAACTAAATTAAATGATACATGAGATGCTCATATGAAGTGCACAAGATACAAAGGACTAACCTGTGTAATATCTGTTATATTTGGAGTCATCCTAGCCCAAACAGGTACAGTAGCTTTCTCGTTTATCCACCCACATACCTCCTCTAACAATGCGCAGTCTTGCCCAACTGCAGCACCAATAACCAGAAAGGTGACTAGCATCTCAAATAACCTACATTTATATGATAAACCATAATGCCAAGTGAATCAAAATGAAAAATAATAAACTAAAAGGAGAAGAAAGCATAAGAGGTCCATATCTTCCCTTCTTATTCTTTGTATACTTTTTTTCTTGCTTCTAGAACAGCAGCAGCAACAACAACACTTTGGCCAACAATTGCGAGTCCTTGTAGGGGGATTTTTCGTCTTTGCTGCATCATAGCCATAGAGAGCTTGCCAACCAACATATAGAACCAACATATGCACACAAAAACCAAGCACAAAATACCCAAATAACAGCATATAGAACCAACATGTGTGCACAAAAAGTCGAGCACAAAATACCCATTATCCAACAAAATTAACCAACATGCGCACACCAACAACATCAAGTACCAACCAACAATATCAAGTAATCAGCAGCTGGTTATTGATTATGGATGAGGGCTCAGAACTGGGTCAATATCATCATTGTTAGCCTCCAGTGCAAATATCAATAGATATTGCAGGTGGCTAATCTCAGAAATTTTAACAATCATCATAGCCTAAGGGGCTGTTTGGTTCGTTTCCTAGATATAGGGAAATGCATGACAATGTACAAAAATATCATCATTGTTAGCCTCCAGTGCAATATCAATAGATACTGCAAGTTGCTAATCTCAGATAAATTGAAAAGCATCATAGCGCCTAATTTGAACACCTGTAAACAATCATCCAAATCAAATCCAGCCGAAACAAGCACAACCAGAAATCCCCAAAACAAGCACAAAAGCATCATTTACCCGGTGATGTGTTCCGATCATTCCAAAGTTGAAGGAATGCTTCAATATTTCTAAGTGTGTCTATTTCGTCATCATTCTTTAATTTAATTGCTAGTGATTGAAAGAATCAGCAGACCAATATCACTTGCAACAAGTTAAAAAAACACTTTGCACACTTGTTTTGGATGTGAATCCATTGTCCATTTCACTCTAACAATCTAATGCAGAGTTGCAAGCAGATGGTGTCTTTGGGGGCGATCTTTGTTCAAGGTCCGCTTGGGGGCTAGGGTTTTGCGGTGAGGATCGTCGGAGGCGGCGACAATTTGGAGCTCCGACGAGGTCGAGGCCTTGTTGTTGTTGTTGTTGGTGTCTTTGGGATCCATTGGAGTTAGAGAGAGAGAGAGAGAGAGAGAGAGAGAGAGAGAGAGAGAGAGAGAGAGAGCCGAGAGCTTTGAGAGCCCAAAAACAACAAAAATCCCCCAAATTTCTGAGAAAAAAAACCCATCGAAACCTAGAAAAGGAAAGGCGAACAGATCGAACCTCAAACTTCGAAAGCGCTGCCACCCCTACGGTCTTGCTCCGCTCCGGCATCCCCATCTCATCGGAACTCCGGAGATGAATCTGATGGAGGAGAGAAAGGCGATGGAGTCAATTTTAGCGTCGAAGCCGACGAGAGAAATCAACGAGAGATTTCTGGCGGGAGGAGAGCAAGGAGGTAACCGCAGCGTCCCAAAGAAATCAAGGAGAGAAAGGAGAGAGCGATTGTCAGAGCTGGCCAGTTTTTTCATCGATTTCTCTTGGTTGGGGAAGGAAATCGGGGAGAGAAAAAAGTCTGAGTTGGCGGCGTTTTCACCCCGTTTCTCTCCCTTCAACCCCAGCGAACCAAAGCAAGGAAAAGAAATGAGCGGAAACAAAAAATCTGAGGTGGCGGTGGTGTCAGGCGCAGAAATGCATTTCCACGGGCTATTTAAGCGAACCAAACAGCCCCTTAGTGAAAAGATTATTTTTAAAACTATCTTTTCGATTTGAGGGAGCTCAATATTTTGGTTGCTAGGTTTGTAGGCATGTAATGGAATCTAGAATATGAATTATCAGACAGGCTTGGTTTCTGCTCAATTTCAGCACGAAAGTAAAATTTTAAATTTTCAAGCAGAAATTCCGTTGCTTAGGTTTTAACTCATCATATAATCCCCTCACGGAAGAGTTGTTTTCTTTCCGTTTTCCTAGACTTCACACAAAATAACTGGCTTCAATTGTGATTGTTTTTTCTCAAAAAAAAAAAAGTAAAATAATAAAATAAAAAATAAAATAAAATAAAATTGTGACTGTTATCTTAAACCAATACTTTGACATGTTATTTGTTCCTGCACTTGACTTTGCTATTAATCTACTCTTTAACGAAACCTAATTCTAGTTCTATACATATCATGTTCTGAAGTTGTATGCAACTCTTTGTTGCAGGCTGGAAATCCTTTCGTCAAGGAGAACCTCAGCACAGACCCTCAACAAGCAGCTGTACTTCCATATGCAACTGAGAGTCAATCTCAATACCAACAGCCTGAGTTCCTGAGACTTCCGGCTGCAAGCCCATATGATAACTTTCTGAAAGCTGCGGGATGTTGAAGGATACAATTTGAAAATGCTGAACCTTGGGGGTTTAAACCTTTCTTCGCCTTTACTCAGTAAGTGTACAGAAGCATACAGGATCTTGTTTGTATATCATCCCCTTCATTCCTTCATTCAATTGATTGAGGCTCAAAATTGTTTAGTGTGGAGAGGTCGTTCGAGGATTCGGTAGACTTTTGATAGCAGAAGCCTTGTGTGAGTTCAGTCGTGGTTTTGTTAGTTGATGCGTGATTATGTGATTAGCTCTCTTATACAGTGCTGATGCATGAACGTATGGGGTAAATAGAAGTCCCTTCAGTAAATACGAGTGCTTTTTTGATCCTCATGATTACACGCTTATAAAATTGAGTTTGGTGTATTTGTGATAATCTATCTAGCTATTGCCCAAAAAGATTATATGCAAGTAGACATCAATTTGGATCCTACTTTCACGTGATTTTCAGGGTTTAACAAGCAATCGATATTTCAGGATTCAGTTCATCTTTAGTTTTAACTCAACTGCTTAAGCAGTTAGGTATTGACCCTAACTCTTATTTAATCCATCACTTATTTTATCCTATTCAATGTGAAACTATAATCACACATAAACATTCTAAAAAAAGTTAAATCTAAAATCTTTCAAAAACTCAACTGTCTATTTTACTAGATCCGATCTCATGGACACGCTTATTATCGGGCTATTATGATGTTTCAGACTTGAAGTCGGAAGATTCTATGAGAACCTCAAAAACCTTATAGACTTTCTACCCTTGCCTAAGTCAATCACTATGCTTCACCCAAAATGTTGGTAAACTCTCTGAACCACTGGCTAAGCTTAGAAGCACATGATAATAAGAAGGATAAATTTTCAAAATAGACCCTTTTAGAAATTTATTTTTAAAAATTGTCCCATGTGAAATTTAATTATCATTTTCGACCTGGTTTCAGAAATAAAGTTTGAAAACTTCACGGGATTTAAAATATTATGAAGTTTAGTGTGGTTAATCAAACGCTAAACTTCACGGGATTTTAAATTTGGTGAAGTTTTCGAACTTTTGTAGTTTTAGGAACATGGTTAATCAGGCACTAAACTTCACAGGATTTAAATCATGTGAAGTTTTTAAACTTTATTTGTTATTTTCGACCCAATTTTAATCAGGTGGCTAAGACTGAATCGAAAGTAGTGGTTTATTTTTAAAAAAATAATTTACTAATGGGTATATTTTAAGATTTTTCCCCTAATAATAAGGAGACAAACTTAGCACTCCATCTGTTCCCTTTCTTGCCGGAGGAAAATTCTAACACGCCAAGCTTGCAACACATACGCTCATCAAACAAGACCACAGTTGATAATGCACCCACGTCCCACCTACCACTTACACTGGGCCCAGTATCAAGGAGAACTCAACTGTAGCTGTCCGTCGTTTAGATTTCCATTTGGTCACGGAACTTGAACTCATGGGCGTCTCATCTGATATCTTTTATAGTGGGACCCACACGAGCCTGTACTGAAATGTGGGTTTTCGCTGTTTGGTTATCTACACGTACACCTTTTGCTGCCGTCTGATGACATGGACGTTGATACATGTGATGCAAGTGGCATCCGATATCCAAAACTTATGGCAACTCTTTAGTATGAGCAAATGATTGCTTTGATCGGGTTTGACTACTTTTTGCCAAGCCAAACTGAACTGGACTATTTACAGAATTGAATCGAATCATGTCAAATCGATTCGGTGGGGTTCGGTTCGTTTTGTTAATTTTGATCTTAGAGATGTAAAGTTAGATATTTTTTTATCTAAAATTCAAGACTATTATTTATTTAAATCTTTCCCTCATCATATTCTAAATGGTTGGGCGCGCGCGTGTGTAGGGCTGAGCATGGGTCGGTTCGGGTCGTTTTTTATCAAATTTTAAACAATTGAACCGAACCGTATATAATTCAAAACTGAACCGAACCATTGTAGGTCGATTCGGTTCGATTTGTTCGGGATCCCATGAATATTAAATAGTAGTATTTCAGGGGTTGTCGACTTAATTTTGAAAAACAAGAGGAGGAAAAAGGAACAAAATCATCATCCATGAAAACATATATAACAGAAAACAAATTAAGGATCGTTATCAAAGCACAAACTCAGAAATCATAAAAGAATAGGAGTGCATAAATGAACAAAAAACTGATAGGCCGATATCTCAACTTACTAGCTGCTGTATCCAAGGAAATAAATCAAAATTAAAGAATAATCGCAGCCAGAAGCTTGAAGAAGAGCAAAAGATAAAGTTTATACATCGGCCTCGACGATGGCGACTGGTGCAGGTGTCCCCCCCAAAGCCGGAGACAGATCCTAAGCTTGAGGAGATGTTTCGACCTCGGCCATGAAAACTGTGGAAGTGAGGAAGATGAAGAGGAAGTGAGAGAGGTGGACCGTGGAACTGAGGACTGAGGAGTGAGAGAGAGTGAGAGAGAAGAACTGAGGAGGCGGGTGGGAAAGGGGGAAGAGAAGTTTAGGTGTTTAGGGTTTGAGAGTCTGAGATTTTGTCTTTGGGGACGGGTCAGGTTTGAGCAGAATGGGTATTTAGACCATGGGGTATTCGGTCAGTTCGGGTTGAAAAGTTTTCAACCCGACCCGAACCGCCCTACTCTTAAAACCGATTTTTTCGGATCGGTTCGATTGGTTTTTTCGGTTTGGACCGAACCATGCTCAGCCCTATGTGTGTGGGGTGTGGGGTGGGGAGGGTACTTTACAAACTAGAATCAAATATTTATCAATTAAGATATATAAAAATACCGGTATAAATTATCTATTTGTATTGAACAAAATGTAAGTTTTAGGCAATTATGTTGAGTGTGATCGGTTCAGTTACTTTAGTTTTATATATTTTAGAACCGAACCGAACTGAAGTTTTTCTGAAATCGAACCGAACCGCTAAATTTTGGTTGGTTCAATCCCTTTAACCAGTTTGCACCGAACTATACTCACCCCTGTTAGTGAAATTGGAAAGAAATCTCGATGAAGGATCCATTCTTATTAAATTCACACATCAACTGGTTCTTCTCTAAACATCTGTTTAGAAAATCAGAACGCGCTTATACAGTAAATGGCATTTACTAGATGAAAATACGCACCAAATACTATATATCATGAGGTACAATTATCATGCAACCGATACGATCCGTTTCAGCAGTTCGCTGTTGGAAGCAAGGCAGCTAATAATCGCACGGATTTGGAACTCCACGTGGCGTCTCGTCTCAGATAAATAAATAAAGAAAAAAATTTCAAAACAAATTCACCATAAGTTTTAATTTTTAAAATCGATTCATTTTTTTTACAAAAAGCGTCACATTTTTTGTCAAGTCAGCTTAATCGCATTCCTAAACAACCCGACTGTTTAGAAGGTTATTAAACCCTAATTAGAAGCATTGAACCTGATTTTTTATGCCCTAAATAATCGGGATTGTCAATGTTGACTAATTAAGAAATGAGATTAAACTGACGTAAGAAAAAATGAGTCTATTTTTGTAATAAAAAAGTTTATTTTTGTAATAAAAAAAAAGAGTCCACTTTGAAAATTAAAAACTGTTTTGAAAATTTCTTCAATAAATAAATTCACAGTGAAACGCCGTCGTCTCCTCTCATCCCCTTCGTCTCTTTCACTTCACTGGGAAAGCTCTCCAAAAATCCCCAAATTCTCAATCTCGTCTCAAAAAAGATCGATCAATGGGATTCTCTAAAGAGCTCCAGTTCTTTTCGGAGCTCGGGCTCGGCCCTCGAAATCCAGGCTGCTACGTCAACGGCAAGTGGCGCGGCAGCGGCCCCGTCGTCGCCTCCACCAATCCCGCCAACAATAAGGTAAAATCTCCATCTCGATCTCGATCTCGATCTCGTTCAAAGTTTCAAAATTTTAGGGTTTGGCTACTATTTTTTTTTGCTGCGTTTGGGAATAATTTCGTAGCGATTCATTGATTTTGGGGTTAGGTGATCGCTGAAGTGGTGGAGGCATCGAAGGGAGACTATGAGGATGGTTTGAAGGCATGTGTGGATGCTTCGAAGTTGTGGATGCAGGTAAATTGTTATTTAGTTCACTTTTTAAAAGAAAGTCAAATTTTTTTTTTTAATGTTCCATGATGTGTAGTCATATCCTTCTGTTTTCCCCCAAAGGGGATTTCATCACGTCGAATGTACCTGTTTTCTTTGAATCCCTTTTTGTCGCGGTCTTCCTATTTTATTCATGTACGTTTTGAGCTCATAATCCAGGTTCCAGCTCCAAAGAGGGGAGAGATCGTTAGACAGATTGGGGAAGCATTGCGGGCCAAGCTCCAGCATCTTGGCAGGCTTGTGTCACTTGAGATGGGGAAAATACTTCCCGAGGGAATTGGTGAAGTTCAAGTGAGAATCCTTCAACATTTCAACAACCTCTTAGCTAGATCTTTGAGTTAAATTTTGATTTTAGCTTAGATGACAGTGACATTCAAACCTTTCAATAATGCATTCCCTGATATTGTGTAAATGTACATGTTACGATGGAAATCGTTCAGTAGCGAGATCTGAAACATGTGTTACCAGGATCTATTTGATGTTAATGTAGCAAAATTTCAAATCTTAAGAGTGAAAAAGTCAGCAGTTACGAGGTTTAGTCCCAAGGTACATGACCGTTTAATTTTATAACATACATTGCTGGGCCATCAGCCTTTTGCTTATGTCCAAATTGTTGTTGGGATTGACATGGATAAATCACTACTTTTTTCCTTTAATATATAATAATTCACTACTTGGTCATCCATGATGTCACTATTTAACTATTATCTTCATTGTGTCCTCGACAAGTTTGTCGTAAACACATTCATGTAAAAGTGATATACTAATTCCTTGTAGAAGGCCTTTTTATCTGGAAGAAACTGAAGCATTTGTGAGCAGATACTTTCGCTAATATGCTGTGAGCGGGGGACAGGGGCACGTGGGCCTGCCCACGTGAAGCCGCCCCTGCCCTTTCGTGCGCGCGCATGGGCCTGCCCACGTGAAGCCGCCCCTGCCCTTTCGTGCGCGCGCACGAAACTCAGCCCCGCGATTTTTCTCCCGCGCGCGCGGCATTTTCCCGCTGTTTGCTCCCGCCAAATTCTTCAGCTCCTCCCTTTTGGTTTCCCTATAAATAGTGAAGGGGTGGAGGAGTTATAGAGGGTGGGGAAAATAAGTGGGTGTGTAGATTTCTTTTGAGAGAAAAGAAAGAGAGGAAGAGAGAACTTGTAAAGTTTGGTATTTTTCCTCATAGTGAAAACCCCCCCTCCCGTGGACGTAGGCTAGTTAGCCGAATGTATTTATTGTTTTCTGGTTGTTGGCTATTGCTTGTAGGTTCCCTCAATATTCGGTCTTAGAGCTGATGAGAGGAAGAGTGTATATTTCATTTTGATGAAATATATCACTTTCGATTCTTGTTTCCTTTGAGAAATAAGAATTTCACTATCTATTCTCGTTTACTTTGAGAAACAAGAATATAGAGGTTGACTTGTGCTTTTGTGACAACAAAGGCCAGGGCTCTCTCTCAGGTGATATCGCTTCCGCGGCGACGGGCGTGACTCTCCGCCCTAACAATGAACCACGTAAAAATCTCGTGTTTGTATTTGTTTTATCTGTGAGTTGTCATAGCTTGTAGGTTCCCTCAATATTCGGTCTTAGAGCTGATGAGAGGAAGAGTGTATATTTCACTTTGATGAAATATATCACTTTCGATTCTTGTTTCCTTTGAGAAATAAGAATTTCACTATCTATTCTCGTTTCCTTTGAGAAACAAGAATATAGAGGTTGACTTGTGCTTTTGTGACAACAAAGGCCAGGGCTCTCTCTCAGGTGATATCGCTTCCGCGGCGACGGGCGTGACTCTCCGCCCTAACATATGCCAATACAAGCGTCCAGCATCAATATGGTTGGTTTAATAGGGAAAAATTCCCAGGCCTGTGGGTTGAGTTTACCCCAGCAGCAGACAAGCAGGAGCTGGTTCACTTGCTTGTTTAGACTGTTATACTTCTTTAAGATATATTTGAATTGTATAGTCAAATTCCTCGGATGTTAGAACTTAGGTATATGTATAGTTAAAGACGTGGTTTCTAGTAGGATATCAAACCAAAAGAAGAGCATGTAAGTTATGTAACTGAGAAGTGGACTGAAGGGGTGTATATTTTTTGTAGTATGAAGGTTGTTATACATCTTGAAAATGCACTCCATCTTACAGATCTCATTTCACCTCACTCATCATTTAAAAATGTTTTTGCTCAGTTATCCATTATGATCCATAAAAAGATGGCTCTTGGTATAGCCATCTTATAGAAATCACCCTTTAATCTATTACTCATTATTCTACAACCCACATAATGCTCGAGAAGAACTCTACAAGGACTATTCCAGTTTGTTTTTTGAATAACGTTCTCGATATCACCATTGATCATCACTTCCAGATTTTTCTTGTCAAAATGTGCAGCATACCCTTTCTTTTCCTCATAATTTTGCTGGCTTCAATATGTTTGTTTTTCTTACTGATTCTAGTTCCTTTAAATTCACAAGATTCTCTTCATGTTTTTGATCAGGACATTATCTCTTGTTTATTTCAGAGATAATAGTATAAAATCTTCATCTAATGACATGTACCTTGCAGTGTAGTCCTCAATATGCTTGGTATATTCATGCATGACTATGATAAAGAGATGAAGACTTTATTTTAATCCATGATTTAAGGAATGATGATAAGGAATGGCTACCTCTCCCCTCTAATTGTTCTACCTGTAGTTGGTACTAAATTTTACATATTCTCGAGCATATCAATATAATCACTGCACATTTTCAACTATATTCTAAAGGTCAAATAGAGCTACCATCTAGTAGAACATTTCTGAAAACTTTGGAAAGCATATTACATGTTGACTAGGATACATACTGTTTATTTGTTTAAATGTATTCATTAATTCTGACAAGATATTGAACTTCTTGCTTACTTTATGGATCACTCATTGCAAGTTGTGCAGGAAATAATAGACATGTGTGACTATGCTGTTGGATTAAGTCGGCAGTTAAATGGATCAATAATACCATCAGAACGTAAGATATCTATCTCATTTTAGATTTAAATCTATGCATGTATGGCAAGAAAGAAAAAGATTACACAACCTTTTCAATTGGGGAATAAGTTTATTAATGATGCATACTTTGTGTAACAATGTTGAGAAACTACACTATGCATTTTGATTCACAGATTGTCTGAAACATATCAGAAACAAAAATGTTTTGAAGGTTTCTCACCACTAGGTCGAATGATGACAATTAACAAGTGGGCTAGATTTTGGTTTGGAAATATCTATGGAGTTTTTGGTATCATGCGCTTTTATGATGTTTACTTTTCATGATTAATTGTCATCATCGTCATCTAGACTTTCTCCATAAATATTGGTCTGCTATCTAGCATGACTCAGAGTTGATGAACTCCATATGATAGTTGTCTTGAGATTTACATTTGTTTATCTACCTGATATCACTACTTCAGGTAGGGCAGTCCCAAAAGCCTGCGGCCCGGACCCGGCCAGAAGTCCAGCCTGGTTCAGGTCGGCCAGTACCCAGCCTGGGACCAGGAAAAGCTCGAAAAATAGGTCCTAGCCATGTTCCAGGCCCGGGTCCGGGTGCCTTGATCGGTGCCCAGCCCGGGCCCAGTCCGGCCCAGGAAAAGGTGTTTTTGTGCAGTTTAGCTAGTTGTAGTTATTAACAATGTGTGAAAGAATGATTGTAATCCAACCATAGCATGGTTGGCTTAGTGGATTGTAGTTGGTCATAGGTAGTTCTTTAAGTCACTACTTCGAATCTACAAGTCCATTTTTTTGTTTTTATTTATCCTTAAAAAACTTTTAATTAGAAATCAGTGTGATGTCATGTGAAGGTTTTGACATATTGTATATATCATTAACTTTTTTTTTCCTAAAAGCTTAGTTCGATGATATGATTGTTGCTTAGTAGTATAATATAAATATTTTGCTTGAGATTATGTTGAAATCATGGAGGAGAATGTAAATTAGTGGGAGATAATACTTTTGATTAAGTAGCTGTTATTTTTAAATTAAACTATTGGTGCTTATTAAATACATTCATTCAATGCTCTATATTTTGAAAAATATTTTATTAAACAGTTATGGAAATACCAAAAATTCTATGTGATTTTTTTATATTTTTGGCAAAATATTACATCTTTTTGCACAAAAAATAGAGTAAAAATAGCCAGGCCTTCTTGGTGTCTGGCCCGCAATTGCTTGGACCCGGACCCCGCCCGGCCCAGTACATCCGGGCCCAGTCCGGCTAGGGCATTTTGCCCGGCATGAACCCGGATTTGCGAGCCGGGCTTGGCTAGGCCGGTCCACTTAGACACCCCTAACTTTAGGGTGAGTGTGAAATTCCAAACATGGTTGGAGGGTTGTCTGCGTGCCTGCTGATAAGTAAATTTTTTATTATGTTTAGAACATTCGAAAATATTTTACAAGTGGCAATTGAAAAAGTATTTATTTGACAAATGGATTCAAGAGAGAGATGTGGCAATTGAAAAAGTAATTATTTGACAAATGGATTCAAGAGAGAGATGTTGATTCCTATATACACAACCCTGTGTGCAGCGCACAGTGTGTAATCTAGTGATTATATACTTGAGTTTGGCTGTAGTCCTTTAATAGTCCATTTAGCATTTGTAAGGAAATTGATTTATGCGCTGGACACCTTATATTTATAAACTATGCTGCTAATGTCCCAGACATCATTAGATTGTTAAAAGAATATAAATATGGATCTAGCTTTTGGTACTAGAGTATAGGATAATCCATCATCTGTGTCTTAGCAACCTAGGTAGACGCTCACACCACATTGTAATTTATGCAGCATGTGATCACTCAATCACTCTGACTACACGCAATAAACTCTTAAAATTCAAATGGCCTGTCATGCAATTTCTAGATTCTGCATGCTCTTATACTTTTTCCTAGTATTAAACTGCTATATTTTCCATGTATGCAGGTCCAAATCATATGATGTTGGAGGTAAGGAACATTTTAGTACTTTTTGATTGGTGTCTCTCGGTTTTTCTATTAATAATTCACAAGGTAAGCATGCTTAAGTACAATCCTGTCAACATGCTTTGTGTGATTCAGGTGTGGAATCCACTTGGGGTAGTAGGTGTAATCACAGCTTTCAACTTCCCGTGTGCTGTGCTTGGTATGTATCATGTTCTCTTACATGCTATTCATAGTATAGTAAAGGATTATGAAAAAAATTCATTGGCATGAATGCTATCATGCTCATATTTGAGATTTGACCTTTTAAATATGTAACGATGATATTTCTGTTGTGTTATAGAGCCACCTGATATGATACCAAGTAATTCCACACAGGATATGTGCTAAGAGAAAATCCTATTTGTTGTAATTCTTTTCTGCTCAGGCATTAATCATATTTAGCATTTCCTAGAGAAGGATTATGAGAAAAATTCATTGTCAAGCATGTTCAGATAGGCGGACTTTAAAGATATGTAATGTGGCAAGTTCTTGCTCAAGGCATTACAAATGGTATTGAAACTAGCCACCAAGTTGGAATGTTTCACATGAATAAAAGGAATGAAATGTCATATGACTCATATCATATGACGATGTGATAGGAACCCATACTTAAAGCCATTGGAACCACATCTAGTTCCATGGGATTGATCTCTAGAATCAAATAATCTGGAAAACATTCAGGACTTCGTATCTTAAAGGACTATTTTAGAAGTCCAGTACTGGATAGTTCCACATGGGATATGTGACAAAGGGAATCTGGTTTATAATAATTCTAATGAACTCATAACTGAGAACAAATAGCATTTTTTTAGAATGAAAAATCATGGAAAAACTTCATTGTTAAGCTTGCTTGAGAAAGAGCCAGTTTCATATATAAATACTAGTTTGAGGCACTACAAAAAGCTCGAACATGAAGATTTATGCAATATTAGAAAAATTGTACGTAAAATCCTAACGACAAATATAATAATTGTTATGCCTATGCATGAGGCTCCTGCAGATTAGTGCAAACCCCCCCCCCCCCCCCCCCCGCCCCCCCAACCCCCAGCCCCCCCCCCCCCCCCGCCTCTCACAAAACCACAAAAAAAAGAGCTGACACAAAGAATACCTGGAATATCACAAATTTGTTTCAACAGATCAAAACCCATTAACTGAAGACCATAGTCTAACAAGATTTTACTATTATCAGTGGAAGTGGGAAGTAAGTAAAGAAGTTGTACCATTGATTATACTTATGATTTAACTCATCATATTCTATTGACTTAATTTACTTGAGGGGTAATTGGCTGCTGGTGATCTGCAGTTCTCATTGTATAAAATTATCTATCCAAGTTATTTCTGCAGTTGTGCATATCCTTGACTTGAAGTTTCTCTCTTTTTAGGATGGAATGCTTGCAATGCACTAGTATGCGGAAACTGTGTTGTATGGTAAGCAGTTAGTCCATTTCTGTAAATTAAATAAAAATGTAACTAATAATATCCCAGATCCATTTCTAGTTGTGTATAACACAAAATTTTGTAATTTCTTAATTGAATTAGATGTTCTGCAAGCATGAATCTGATTATCTGGAAGTGAGGTTTAGGTTCATTGTTGATCCAACTTTATTTTTTTGCTTTCTACCACCAAGGATGCTGAAATTAGAAGTGCTTTTGTAACATTATTGTATATACTTCTTGCATGGATTGTTTTAGAATCAATTCCGGTACATAAACATATTGAAGCTTTTCTTCTGTTTTCTAAATGACCATGGATTGGCGTCAGGAACAAATGTAGAATAGTTGGCCTTGTAATTCTAAGAGTTTAAAATTATTACCCTCAACCCTCACCATAACTGCAGAGCTTTGGTGTTATTCAAAGGGATTTTAAAACCATCAAATGGAAATATGGTACTTGTTGCACAAAAAATCTTAAGCAGGATGTTTGATGCTAGCCCGAGAAATCATAGGTACAACTGAAGTGAGTATTAATTCATGTGCCATTAGTATGGTAACTGCTTAATAAAAGACGATCTATGTCATCAGAATTATTTTTCTTCCAATGGGAAAAATATGGGGGAATTCAGTTGAAAACTTCAAAACTTGGAAATGTTTCCATCCCTCTGATAAAGAGACTTAGGTGCTCTTTTCTTGCGTTTTTATATAGTAGTTTCAAGTTTTGTCTGAATTTAAGATGGTTGTCCTTGCTTCTGTTTTCTAGGAAGGGTGCACCAACAACCCCATTAATCACAATTGCTATCACTGAACTAGTTGCTGGGGTTTTAGAGAAAAACAATTTACCAGGTGCAATATTCACATCATTTTGCGGAGGTGCTGAAATTGGCCAGGCAATAGCTCAAGACGCACGGATACAGCTGGTCTCGTTTACCGGGAGTTCCAAGGTTCTTTTATGTGCTATTATTCTCATTATTAATAATCTTGTAATCTGAGAATAACTATGATTTTTCACAGGTCTTAGGTACTAATCCTTTTAGCATACTAGCGATTATTAGTGCGTGAAAACTGAAAACTAAAATATCTCTGAAATCTAGTTAAAGAAACTTATCATTTCACAATACTTGTGCGTCAAAGGAACTCCCATGTGAATAGACAGAATATGTTTTATGTTCTTGACCATTGTATTCTTTGTTGTTCTTCTAAATTTACGTGTTTATGCTTATCTTTGAATATTGATTGGGTTTTTGAACTCTCTTCATACCCTTATCTTTTGGTTGTCAGTGAATTCTTTTCATGAGCATGTCTAATTTTATTTGTGCATCTTCATATCCAGGTGGGTCTTATGGTTCAACAGACAGTTAATGAGAGATTTGGCAAATGTTTACTTGAACTAAGCGGAAATAATGCTATCATCGTCATGGATGATGCCGACATCCAGCTTGCTGTCCGCTCTGTTTTGTTTGCTGCTGTTGGTACAGCTGGACAACGATGCACAACATGTAGAAGACTGGTACGATATTTTCCTTTCTGTATGGCAATCTTTTATTGCAAGCGAATCTGTTTTTTTAATCTCTAATTCTTTTTCCTATTGATGCAGCTTCTCCATGAAAGTATATATCAAGATTTCCTCGATCAACTTATTGTAGTCTATAAGCAAGTGAAAATAGGGGATCCACTAGAGCAAGGTACCTTATTAGGACCATTGCATACTCCTGCTTCCAAGGTCAATTTTGAGAAGGGAATTGAAGTTATTAAGTCTCAGGTTAGTTTCATAATTTAATACATTGATGTTGCATGCAATGAAGTGGACAATACTCTACTTTTAACTTATCTCTCACCCGTTATCATTGTGTAGTAACTGTAGTTTATGTCATATAGCAGTTTCTAGTACTCCATAAAGCTATTTAGAGTAAGTGTTCTAAGTTTTTGATTGTCATTATCTCCAAAAGACCTGTCGCTGGGAAGTAGATTAAATTCGTATATGTATGCTAAGTTGTTAAAATTTGGTGAATTCACTAGTTGATAATACTGAGATGAATTTGTTTCCTTACTGGATTATATTCTCTGAAGGGTTAGGTTTTTCACCGTGCTTCATTTGATGCAGAAGATCAAACAAAGACTAAAGCAGAGATTTTCCTTCCCCTCTAATCTTCTCTTTCACCATGTGCTCATATATGCAGGGTGGAAAGATACTCATTGGAGGATCTTCTGTAGAATCTGAGGGAAACTTCGTGCAACCCACTATTGTCGAGGTTAATCCAGATACACCTGTTGTTAAGGAGGAGTTGTTTGGACCTGTCCTTTACGTAATGAAATTTCAGGTAACATGTTTACATCTTGTATATCTCCTTTAGAGTCTGCAACTACATGATAGGTCGTTACATTATCTGCCTTCTACATCATTGATGCTTCCGTTTTGGTAATATCTTATGTTAGGAACGTGATTTCTTGAGTGATCTCTCATTTTTTGCAGACATTGAAAGAAGCTGTTGACATAAATAATTCCGTGCCACAAGGTTTAAGCAGCTCCATATTCACAAGCAGGCCAGAAGCCATATTCAAGTGGATTGGGTAAGTTTTGGAATCTAAGATTACTGCAAATATGAACAATCTTCTCTTTCCATAATGTGTAAGATGCATGCATGCTCAGACAGGAGATGATTGCGTCTTGAAGTGTTATATAAATAGCGGGGGTAGTGGCATGCCAAATTTCTAAATGTAGTTTGGTCTTGCCCTTCTCACTTTAGAAGGATTTTCTGTCTGCAGATCACATGCGCTATGGATAAAGGAAGAAGAGAGATTATTAATTTGTGAATTTTGTGATATTTACATTTACCAAATCACGTAAAATATTTTTTTGTTAATCTTTGGATCTGTTGATTTGTCGTGCAAAACATTCTCTTCCCGCTGTTTGAATATCTACCTCTTTTTATTATTATGCTTTACATGTTCTTTTCTCCTGATCACCCTTGAGGCAGAAATTAATGCTTCTAGTTTCTGGTATTCATTTACTTGCACCTCTGACTAGTTTGTCATCCATTACCATGTACCTAAGCCCATATGTCTGGAATATTTTCTGTTAAAATCCTAGTAAGCACTAAGGTTTCATTATCCATTACCAACATATATTAATATTGTCTCCTATTTCCTTACCATCCTACTTACTTTATTATGGCGTCCTAGAGTCCTTTATGTGGCTGATTGTTGCACAAGTATACCATCAAGTAGTTATCCACTTATCCTTACCTACCTTATTGCAGGATGTCACAGATTCCTCCAATATAATGATAAGATTGCATCTAGTCTGAACAAATATTTTTTTAATCATTGATTGTTGTGTAATAGTGGCTTCTCTAAATTTTAAGGAGCACCAAGCAGTATTGTCCAAAATGGATCTGGTTCTATGGATTTATATTTCAGGCCTTGTCTGGTGTTATCTTGATTTCTTTTCAACTTGATTTTCCTTATTTGATTGTTCACCTCTCCGTTTGTATCCTCCTGGAAAACTCAAGTTCTGATTGTAACTAGAGCTTAAAAGCAGGAGGAGAAACAACCAATCATCTCCTATTTCTGGTGGAGCCTTAAGTTTTATATTCGTGTACTATTGATTTTGGGTAAAATATTATCAAGTCTGAAGTACCATGATGATATTGTAGAATAAGAAGTTCCAGCGTGGTGGGAATATCATAGTCCTTAGTTATATGCTTACATCTGAAATTTATCAAGTTTATGTGAATATCAAATTGGTCTCAATCATCTGCAGCACTTTTGTTAGAAAAATCATGGTTTCTGTTAATTATATCTTCCATATACTTTTTGGGATATAATATATATTATATGTGCATTTTTGTGAGGTATGTACTGTTTGAAAATTTTGCAGGCCACACGGTAGTGACTGCGGTATTGTGAATGTAAATATACCTACCAATGGTGCTGAAATTGGTGGTGCCTTTGGTGGTGAAAAAGCCACTGGTGGTGGCAGAGAAGCAGGAAGTGACTCTTGGAAACAATACATGCGACGTTCTACATGGTAAATTATAAATTCTAGCTGTTCAACTTGTTAGCCACCAAAGTTCTTAGTTCGATTCATTCTGTCAACCTTCCAGCTGTTTAGTATACTTTATTCGAAACTCTTGCAAATAGGTCCTTCAAAATCTTTCTGATTATACAGCAGATATAAGAATTTTAAGACGCCTTTTATACCACAGTTTAAATTATTTGTATATAGGTCCTTCAAAATGTTTCTGATTATACAGCAGATATAAGAATTTTAAGACGCCTTTTATACCACAGTTTAAATTATTTGTATATCATAAAAGGGATAATCTTATAGTAGAGGATTGGTGGCTGCAACTTGGGTTAGTGAACCTCGACCCACACAATCCACTACCAGGGATTTGACTGATCAACCTATCTAACTTGTGAGCCACCAAAGAACTTAAGTCAAGGTCTCATGAACTGAGTATGTCTTATTGTCTGAACTGACCTTTTCGCAGATGGAATCATGGGACTATGCCTTTATACTTTGTGCCATAGCTTCAAGAAATCTACATTGTGAATTAACTAATTCAGGACTGTCATTTTGGTGACTTCAATTTGTTTTTTGACTAACCCAACCAACTCCTGGTGATGGTCAGTAAAGAACTTTGAGAATCATTTGGCTGGATGATAATTAACTGCAATTTAATTTGACCAAAAGAGTGCTTACCCTACCCAAGAGAGTATTTAATATATTAGTCAGTATAGTCCTCTATCATGTATGTAGTATGTACTAAAATATCATGTTGATGACTTCTGCGGTTACTAAATGCATGTTTTTATGTTTATTCATGTCTGCATTAATTTTCAACCCTCTAATTACATTTATACACTTGTTTGTTATTCCAATTAAATCTGGTTCGTATGACATAGACTCTGAATTCTCATGCCCTGCCTACTTCAGGCACTCAAATTTTATATTACGTGCATGAAATGTTACTTGGTTACATATGATGAAAATATTGGACTAACAAAATGTACCTCTGCAGTACAATCAACTATGGCAGTGAACTCCCTCTGGCACAAGGAATAAACTTTGGTTAGATTCTACAGAGCTCAGGTTAGTTTCCTCCCTGATAGAGATTGGTTGATTGTTTACTGAGTTGTCCATCTCACGTCTTGTTTATGCATCCACAGGTCTTGTTTCTCTGAATCCTGGATACGTAAGGTTTCATGTAGCTCATCCTGGAGATGACAGAATAAGATGAAGGAATATAAACTCAGGTTTAGCCGACTGCTCACTGACTTTCCATTGAGGCTCTTGATATTGTTATATACTACATAGACTTCCTGTATGTTTATTACAGCCTTGTGAGATAGGAAAGAACAGTGCTTTCTCTTACTCTAATGCGCGTATGTGTTTATTTCTATGTTTTTTAGGGTTCTCGTCTCTCTTTATGCCAGGCTCTGTTTGTTATTGCGTGCTTTTAGCTCCGTGAAGAGACTAGGAATATGTTTTAACATCCATTTGTTCAACGCCTTCTTAGACTGTTCTTAGAAATCAAGCTAGGAGTTTTGGTGCGGTGTCGGGTGTTTAAGATGGTATCAGTGAATACCAGATTTGGATTCCAATGCTCACTTAGATCCCATCAGTCACTTTTAAATGCGGTGGTGTTTTGTCCAGATTTCAATACATGAAAACAATGTTCTAACCTATGGGACATGTTACACCAATAACGTTATATAAATCTAATTCCTTGTCACAACTTAGGCAGGACGTTAAACGTTCTTAACAAGACAAATTCGTCATGGAATTGACATGCACAACAATAACAACAAAGCATTGTAAAGTTTATACTACAAATTGGGCTATTTTTCAACCGAAATACAATGACAGTTTGAATGGAAAAATCCACATCCCGTGGAAATAGTTTTGTAGTCAACCTCAAAAGAACGAGAACTACGGTTATACGTAAGATAAGATGGTTCTTATACGCTTGTTTCAAACAGCATTTACTCAAACCTCCTAAGGTCAAGACCTGAATGTCAGTTGGGCATCTGAATGTAAGTTGCGCAACAAGAGAAAGGAATGACACCACCGATACATTCACCTTGGTGAACTTAAACCAGTCTGTTGGTATTGAAATCATACGAATAGATAATATTTTGTTTCACGACAATCAACATACCCTCCGAGTCTGGGAGGAAACTTCCAACGACTGTGAAATGAACATGTCTCAACTGTAGTTGTTTTTCCAAAAGGATGCAACTTTGTTCATGGATCGGTATCCATCTATTGCCTTCTTCGAGTTTCAAGTTTCCAGATTTTGAAACAATCACTGTCCCCGATGAGACAAATGCGCCCATTGCACTTCCCTAAAGTCCCATAGGCAATAAATCTATTGGTCTGGGGGAAGCTCAATCCTTTGAGAGCTCTCCTCTTGAATACCAAACCTCAGCACAAAACGGTCAAAGTTCACAAGAATATTAATATCCACTGTAGGCGTCAAAAAATGCTCAAAGGTATCCAAATACAGTTCAAAAGGAAGTCATCCAAAATGTTAAAAAAGAACACAAGTATAGACTGTCTCGCAGGCGAGACAGTCTTTACTGTCTCGCCTGGCGAGACAGACTTTTACTGTCTCGCCCACGCGAGACAGTTTTCACTGTCTCGCCCCCGCGAGACAGTATTTACTGTCTCGCCGTGCGAGACAGTGTTTACTGTCTCGCCGTGCGAGACAGAATTTACTGTCTCGCACACGAGACAGTTATCAGTGGTTCAAGAAACTGTTTTGCAACCACCGACACGTGGCCACCAACTGTTCAAGAACGTGGGGAACGTCGTGGGCGAGAATCACGTTGATAACTACCAGAATAACGGAGTTTAAAACGTGGGAAGGCAGTTACAGCGAGAAACTGTCAAGAATATTCGTTTTCCAAGACAGTATTTACTGTCTCGCTGGGCGAGACAGCAAATTTACTGTCTCGCTGGGCGAGACAGCAAACACTGTCTCGGCCAGCGAGACAACAAATACTGTCTCGCCCGCCGAGACAGCAAATGCTGTCTCGCGAGCACTGTTCATCAACGGGCTATAAATACCCCCAAGGTGATTTCTTTAGGGGGGGCTTCCAGCAGAGATCCAAGGCTGATCAGAGAGCATCCATAGGCGGATCAGAGAGCATCCATAGGCTGATTCCAGAGCAGAGAGGGCAGAGTACTCGAGCTTCTGGCAGCTCCTTGATATTCAGGCTTTGACTTGATTTCAAGAAGAACGACTATCTTACCTTGATAAGATATCGTTTCAAGTTCTCACTTCGATAAACGAAGTCAGAATCATAAACCCCTCACGATTCGATCAGAATCTGTGATTTGGTGGTCCACGGGCTAACGCACCCCCGGCACAGGCAAAGATCCCACGCAAGCAGTGATCCAAACAACGATCCTGCGTTTGTTTCCCAAGAGTTATAATTTTCATTTTGTTGTGTAAAAGAAGTCTTATAAAAAGGCTATTTCTTTTGAATTTATTGTAATCGACTGAAGATATAATGAATTCCATGACAAAACCAACTTTTGACGCAAACAAGCTGGCGACCACAGTGGGAGCCAACGGTTTCGCTGCCGAGACCGTCGTGTCGCAGCCAATCATCAAGATCCTGGTTGAATCAACGGTCGAGTACGAGTTCGACCAAGCGAAGTTTGAGGAGTATTTGTCATCCTCATCTGTAAAGTCTTCCGCGCCTCGCAAGTGCAGGAAGATTTCATCTTCGTTGAAGTTATCAAATGCTACGGATGAAGACTCTCGTCCGATTGTTGCTGAGGATTTTACTCGCAACAGCTCTGCTCAAGATGATTCCTCCCCAATTAAGGAGTCGTTCGATCAAAATTCGCCACTGACAAAGAGGGCTCGTCAGAGGCGATGCCAACGCCGCGCTCGTCAATTAGCTAAGGCATTGGAACAAACCGACGGGGTTCGTTATCACGCGGACCTAAAGTCGAGGAGACATCGAGTAGTTCAGTTGTCTCAACAACCAATCACTCCTATCTCTGTTAAAATAACGACGGAGGAATGGACTATTGTCAAAAGGACTCGTTCAACCCTCAAAGAGCGTATACGAAGACGTCGTGCAAACGCTGCTCTTATTCGTGCTCTCTCACAACAAAGACGAGAAAGGAGGAAGGAAACGGTGACCAAAGAACCACCGAAACTCTGCCAAGTTTGGATTCCAAAGTCTGGACTTATGCAAAATCAGCATTCAGAGCCCGTTAAGACTCCGCACCCGTAAGGGGGTGGTTCTAAACGTGTGACTCTTGACACAACCTTGGATTACTCAAAGGCAACAATAATTTGTCCTGAGAATGCCACCAAGGCTTTACACCCCCAGAAGAAGACGTGTTCGCCAAAAGACATCGTTATACCTGGAAGGTCATACCAACAGACAATAGGATTTTCCGGCAATCATACCGATGAATCGTACTATCAA